GTGGGAGTCCAGCGACGTAGCCATTACGCTAACTGCTGGTCCCTACTAACCGATCTTCTCAGGGCAGTTGGCGTGCTTTGAAGCAAAACTGTCCCCAGGTCCTATTCTCTTTGTTCTTCGTAAGGCCTCTGGGACGTAAATAGGATTTTTAACAGACATTTATATAAGCAAGACTTTCGGATTATTTATTACATGAGGTTCAACAAACTCCTTGCGGGAGAGTTTTCCAGAGATCAAAAAAGGAAAAGAAACATTCAAGGAGTCTGTCAGGCAAAGCACAGAAGAAAAGGAGAAAAGGCAGGTATCTTCAGGGACCTCGGTAAGTTGGGGCCCACAGTGTGACTTTCTGAAACTGTCAAAGCCTGCCGAGCCATAGGCGGGGAAGCAGGAACTCCTGCTCACAGCCTCTGCTGCTTGCTCCTCCCTCTCCTCCCCTGCAAACTCTCTGCCCTCGCTGTAGAGGACAGAACGTGGCTCAGAAGAGCTGGGCTGCTGGCCTGGCGTGACCCTGAAATGAGTGGGCCTCGCTGGCTCCAGAACCACAGAAGCTTCTAGGGCCAGGACGCACACAGCTTCGCTCTCCTTGCCACACCTGCCCATCTCCCCTTGGCAGCCCACCTCCACCAGGTCCTGCCAGGGCAGATGGTAACCCGCCGTCCCCCCATCCCTCCTACCAGTGGGATGGCCACATCCTCGTAGGGCAGCTTGTCTTCGCGCCACGCATCGTCGATCAGATCCAGGATTCGGCCGTCTCTCTGCACCTCGCTGTCCATTGTCCCGCAGCTTCGACCTCGACCTTGTCAGGTCTGTAAGTCAGAGGTCATCTCCTGAACATTAGGCTGAGATGGGGTGACCCTGTGGGGCTCTCTAGGCTTTCAGCCTGGAGCTGTCTATTAGCACAGCACCCTGGGAAAGGCTTATTTTCTTACACGGGTCAGGTGACAGCTTATTGTTGCAACTACAGTCGCTCTTTCCTGTCCTCAGCTGATTCTTTATAGCACTGAGGGCACACAGTCCCCACGCGGGATCAGTGTCACGGTGACGGGGAGGCAGCATATCCCCAAACGCGGCCCTCCAACACGCTGCTCTTAAATGTAGCTCTCCTCTCCTAATTTGCCCCTTCACCTCTCCCTGTTCCCGGTGGCTTTGCTGGGTCTCTGATTGTAACTGCTCGCTAAGTCTTCTCTCCAGCCCCTCTAACCTCTCCCTGTGCCTTGGTGGACTCCGGCCTCGGCATCCCTGGGCACAAGAGCTGCATGAACGAGCCCAGAGAACACTGAGGGGAGGGGAGGCCCGCCGCCATCCTCAGGGCAAGAACGCCAGCTGCTGAGCTAGTAAAGGAAATGGTTTCCTTTCTTACAACAGCGCCCAGGCTGAGCTCTGGAAGGAGCGCTTCCAGGACCACTTGGTGGAACCGTGAACCATTTCAGTCTCTGCTTCCCTCGGGGTTCCTTCCCCTGACTCTTAAGCTGCAGCCTCTTAGGGCTAGTAGGTGATATGGTGGTTAAGGAGCTGGATTCCCACATGGCCACCTACAGTTCGAGTCCTGGACCCTGCAGCTTGAGAATCATGCCAGGTACATGTGTGTGCATGCCCAAGACCCTGCAAGGAGAATGGAGAAGGGATTATGGTGTGGCCATCCCGTCTGGGGGTCATTTCTCCCTCTCCCTCTCTGTCTCTCTCTGATGGGCAAATGCACCCTATGGCAAAAACAAAACAAACAAAGCTATGCTCTCTTCAGAGCCCAGCCCAAGTGCCTGGCATGAGAATACTTATCTCTGACCATGGCCAACTCCCCTTTATCCCTGCAGGCCAGCTTGGAGGGTACCTCTGGATCTTCTATGACCAGTTTTGGGCATCCCCCCACGGTGTTTTCTGCGACACAGTGGCAATCCTGAAGACTTGAAAGCCACGAGCACCAAAGGGACTCTTAGTCATTCCTAACAGCTGACATTTTGGAGACTCATGTAACGGTCTCTGGGGTGGGATCCAAGGGCATCATACAGGTCTGCGGTCCCAGGAGTGCACCTGCAGTCAGCCCTGATCCCGGGAACAATTACACCGGGTTTACAGCAGGGGAGGGTGTTTGACCCCCACCATAAGGATTCAAAGAAGCAAAAGGTGCCCAGCTGCTGCTGCGGCCAGGGGAAGAGGGGAGGCCCCACTGTCACTCAGGAACTGACACAATTCCTGGGTAACTCCGGGCCAGCAGGATCCTGTCTTTGGGAAACGGTAGGAAGGAGCCATCATCCTGGGCTGCAGTTACGTCCTACAGGGACTCCTCTTCCCTGCTGCACCCCTTTGTCCTTGCTGCCCTGTCCCCGAGGGTGCCCTTGTCCCTTTTCTCCGCTGATTTCCTTTCCCACACGGCCCCTTGGTCGCGTTACCCATTTGGCACTTCCCGTCCTTGAGTGCCAGGGCGGCCGTGACCGACCCTGCCCCTCGCCCTCCCCAAATCCTCCCACAGCCGCCTCCACCTTCCCCAGCCGCCTGCCGTCACCCCTCTCCGCAGCCCTGCTGCCTCCTCTTCCTCGAAAACGAGGCGGGACCTGCTGGGAGTCACGAGCCGTTTCCCAGTGCAGGGCGCTCCGCGCGAGTGCGGTTCCCCATGGGGCGCCTGGGGCTCGGCCACCGCCCGGCCCCTGCGTGACCACGGTTTCCCTGACGGCCTCTCCCGCACCGACAGCCCTTGTCTCCTCCCGCCCTCCCTGGCACCCTACCGCCACTAAACTCGGTCCAGGGCGCCTCGGGTCGGTCGGAGGCCTCCTCCCAACGCGCAAGTCCCAGGCTCGGCGCAGCGCACAACTGGGGGCGACAAGTGTCTCCCCAAGCACGCGATCCCGGGACAGGGGCACGTCTTAACCCCTTCTGAATTCCTCAACTTCACACACATGCACTTAGAAAGCCACCGTGGAAAGGCCTCTTCCTTGGCTAGAATTGACCCTCGCAGGCCACCGCCGGCCGTACCTGCGAAGACGCCCGCAGCCGCAGCTTCCGGCCCGCAGCGGGACATACCAAGTGCGGCCGCGGAGAGGGGAGGCCGCGGCTGCCGCCGAGTCCCTTCGCACGGCGTGCAGGCAGGGGATGGCTGAGGGAGCTGTCGCCGACGGAGGAGGGACAGTCGGACACTGAGAGGCGGAAGCGTCCCCGCCCCTGCCACTGGGAGGCCAAGGTCAAGGAACCCTTCCCCGGCCTCGCCCCCCGCGGCGCCCACTGTCTCCGGGCCGCGCTCTGGGCCTCACGTGACCCTCAGGTGCCCGGATGTGGGCGAGCCCATTCGCCGGCGCGGAGGGGAGGTCGGAGCGGAGGGTGCGTCCCTGAAAGTACCGGCCCCTGGGCGGGACGGGCGTGCGGCCGGCGGAGGCTGCCCGGGTC